CACTATATCTGTTGTAGGCGAGTCTTGAGTAATTTGTATGCCTAGATTTAATACTCCCTCTGCTACCGTTTGGGCAGTTTGATAGTTTATATCGTTCGTACCTATATGTAAAATTATTTTGTTCGGCTCCTTTCGGAGCACTGGTCTTAAATAGTCTTCCATATCAGAAGTTGTAGCTCCTGAGAAACTCTTGACTACCACATGGTTACTCGCGTTCGATAGACGCCATCCTTCTACATGCTTCAATATAGAATCTCCAGCAACTACCGTGACCTTTTTGCTTGGAGATTGGATGCTTTTAGGAGAACTAGTTGTATTTTTATTTACATTACTCACCTCGTTAATCGGTTGAGAGGTTTGAGTGGTTTTAGCAGGTGAATCAGTTATACACCGTTGTTCGTCTTTGCTTTGCTTCTCAGACGTCTTAGATTTCTTATTCGATTTTTTTGACTTGTATTTTCGCTTCAGTGTATCTTGGTTGCTGATATTTACGTTGTCAGTTAGTAGGGCATTTACAGCGGCGCCTGGTTCAATAATATCATGATTGATTACCTCCACATTAACTTCCGCACTCGTGTTACTTGGCGAGTTAATGTCCGATTTGTTATTTAGTAACCTAATGGCTGTAATTAAGCTAGCTTTCTCCTCTTCTGTAGATTTGACCTTTCCTTGTAGGTCAGCTAATATATAACTCAGATTGTTTAACCTTTCGTGTAAAGATTTGTTCTCATTTTTCAAATCATTGTTCGTGTCTTTTAAATCGCTATTTTCCTTTATAAGTGCAGAAAATTCACTTTCCTTGTCAGCAATTCTGAGTTCTTTAAGCTGGTTAGAGTGATCTGATAACGTCCTATTTATGTATGTCATGCTCGATACAAATTGATCGGATAAGGCTTGTAGTTTAGCTTGTAACTGGCAGTTAAGGATTTTAAGATAAGTCTCTTGGGAATCGTCTAGGTCATTATTTGGGTGGGATTTATTGTCGTTATGGCTGACTGACCTGTTTTTCTCAACAACATCCACGAGCTTGTCCTCGTCGTTAGCTAAACCCGCTGAAATTGAGGCTAATTTCAACAGCTTCTCCTTGAATTCCTTTTCGTCTTTACCACTAATGGTGATCGATTCGGTATCAGAATACCAGCGGATAGAGATGCTTTCATTTTGGTAAAGCTTTGCGTGTCCTCCCGGCGTGGTCCATTCGCCGTCTGACAAAACCAAGACTTCTGCGACAAATCTTTGTAGAGCCTCAAAATCGGCTGTCCATTTGAGCTTTCCTTTGCTGCTAGTAGATAAATTATGTAGCAGACTCATTCCAGTAATAGTTTGCTCTGTATCCATCTTAGATTGCGTTGGTTTTAGTGACTTTTTAGACATAAAACGAGGAGCTCCAAACCAAACCGTACTCGATTCTGTAGATATTTTTTCAATTCTTTTCGGCAGTTTGAAAGAAACGTTTTAGATTGTTAGTGAATAATTTTTTTCAAAAAAGTTATGGGAATTTTCTCAGTACGACTGTAATTTTATTATGAGCAATATTTCCTACATATGAAGCATGTTAATACAATTTTATATTTTTGTTGCATCAGAAATACGATACTCAAGTTGGAGACAGAGGTACTTTGATATCTGGTGGACAGAAACAAAGGATTGCTATTGCCCGAGCATTGATACGAGATCCAAAAGTTCTTCTTCTGGACGAAGCAACTTCCGCTTTGGACACAGAAAGTGAAAAGGTAAACAAATTGTTTTTCGATATTTTAGGGATATTCTGCGTGGCCTAGTGTATCATATGGTTAAAGATTGTTTAATATTTTCAAATCGAAAAAAACGTGTTTATTCCTGACAAAAAAATTTCGGATGGACAGGATTTTTTAAACATCTTCAATTCCTAATGATTGCTCATACTAGAAAAAAAATTTAATAAAATAAAAATTGGGGGTCACCGACGTTGTTTTCGAATTAAACTAGTTTCAATGCAAATTAGCAGCCATTTTGAAAAGCCATTGTTGCCATAGTAACCACAGTTACGGACTTTTACGTTACAGTTTCTGATTCTCAAAATACTGTTCTATACAAGACATCTGGTTTCATTCTTCTATAAAAATATCAATGTACAAAATATTTTGATCGGAAATGACCGAAATGTGCCACTTTTCAAGAAACTGTATATAGCCACCTTAAAACGTTGTTCAACCCTACCTACACACCCTACGCTACCTACGCTACTTGTTACTGCATGTGTTGATATGACTAAACCTAAAATCGTGAAATATGTCCCGTGCAGACTATATAATTGGAGCCAAAACTTCTGTGTATATACACATTACTTACAAAGATTACTTACAAATATTACTTACAAAGAATCGTCAATGTTTACCTTTCATCTTCATTTTTCATGTTCTTCTTCAATTAAGTAATATGCCTTCAGCCTTCCCAAACTCTTATAAATGTTTGATATTTAGGTTTAATCATACATATATGAAACTTTACATGCGACGATCATCTTATCAGGGTATTTGTAAACTACTGTATATAATAATACTTGGGCATTCGGCCCAGTATAGGCCCTGCCCCAGTAGTGAGGTGAGATTTTCTGATGAGCTGGGCCCTTTTTATCAATAATAAAAAGGTTTAGCCACGTTATGAAAGCTGAATCAGGCCGCTTTCCCAATTCTCTCACTTTCTTGACACCTCATCTTTATATAAAAGTCAGCACAGAGTGGTCTTCATTAATGTACACGTAATGGTGATGGCAAAAGGCCCTCAATAAGTAATTCCTTAAAAATGCCATGCATCCTGTCCCGAAATAAGCCTCTATAGGTAATTCGTTTTAAGACTATTAAGAATTTTTGTAAGGTTTATGTTAGTCTGTACTGAAAACTAATAATTTAGTAGACAGCTACTCGTATAGAACATTCAACTATAGTTGTCTTGATTCCTCGTCTCTTACTCAGAATTGAGTGCAATTTAAATTTCCGTGCTGTGCATGTCGTGTATATTATGAGGAATAGGAATTTCCGCACTTGTTCTTTGGTCTACCAGCACGAATTCGACAGTTTCTCACCGATATAATTTTCTACATACGCCTCCCTACCTCCTTGTGACAGTGTATGACAGCTAGCAGTACACCCCATCATAAAGTACGTGACTCTGAGCCAACCCC